CAAGTAACTTGAGTAATGTAATCAGATTACTTTTTTCAAGTAACTAGTAAAGTAACGCATTACTTTATTAATTTACAACAAAATATCGGAGTTCCTTTTTCAAATAAGTAACGCAAAGTTACTTTGTTTTCCATTTATTGATTGGCAGCTCTACTGTCCCCATGTTGAAAGTATTCGAAAGTTCAGAGGATTTATGTTAGCCGTGTAAACATGATGGTTATTGTAGTTTTATAATAAATGTGAGCAGCCATTTACTCATCTCACTTGCAAAAAAAAAAATGTGTTTGTGTGTGTGTGTGTGTGTGTGTGTTAGTCTGATGGATTTCAGACTTGACGGGTGTCTTGCTACGGGTGCAGTGCCGAGTTTGACGTTGTTTGGATTAGCTACGCACAAATAAAAATGTCACTGAACTTTTGCTGTGTAATTCTAACAATAAGCACTCAAACACACCAAACCAACAATGACTAAAAACACACAAAAACTGATTTTGCACGGGCACTTTGCACTAGTATTACAAATATAGTATTACAAAACAGTGAAATACAATCTCACAATATTACACAAACCTGCAATAGTTAAATATATTAAATTACACAAATATGCCTGGTTTGATTGGTTTTGTCAACTCGAAACTAATCCTGTAACCCTGAGTTTGTTCAACTACCATCATGATACATGCCCCAGAACTGTGAGTTTCAGTACACTACTACAACCAGGCCTCACCCCCCTTTATTTGCATATGTTTTGGGTTGGATTTATTTAAATGAGGGATATTGTGACACATACCTCCCTGAAGAAAACTCAAGACTACAATGGAGGTGTTTCGGGGAGTTCAGAAACAGCGCGCACAGATATAGAGAATAACTCCCTTTGGAGTAGACTTGTAACTTTGAATACCTTTTTTTATGCTCAAACAGCAACATTGCAAACTAAAATATTCAACATTTACCAATTCAGTTAAACACAACTGAATTACAAACAGCTCCACTGACCTCTAGTGGACATACAGTTACACCTTCTAGCTTTGTTTTAGCAGAACTGACCACTTCAATTACAATCACTTACGTGTAATGGAGTAAACGCAATGGGACAGAGATTCTGTAGTGATGTTAGCAGCCATCTTTTATCATACTTTTTTCCATGTGGGATCTGTGAAACAACACAGTCATCAGGAGTCTTGTTTTGCTTGTTAGGTTTATTATCTTATTGCGGATAAATCTGTCTACAGTGGAGCTCAATACTTAATTCATATGATCTCTATTGTGATGTAGTAAACACTGATGCTAAAGGACTAGTTTTCTCATCATTTACACCCCATCATGTCATTCCAATCCAATTCTACTTTATTTCTTTGTGAAATTATATAGGGTTTATTTAGGAACACTGTAAAGTTGAAAAAATGGAGAACTATTGCTGATCTCTTACTGTTATTTTGAACCATGTTTTTTCTTCCCTCCCTTTATCCTCTGCTCCGAATCTGCGTGCATTCCTCTCTCCTTTGCTATTGGGACGTCCATATGGATCACTGCAGGAAAAGCATAACATGAGCAGAGAGTTACATGCCAATATGACATACATCCAATCCTTATTTATGAAGCTGAATCATTTGCAACAACACTTACAATCTCTGTTTGGACACCCCATACTGACCACCGATCACAGACAGATCAACACAGCCGTTCTGAAACCTATTGCGGGGTCCCGGCCAAGGCGGTCCTGGGGCTTTACCACGATGCTGCAAGTGAACTGGATCATTGTGTAAACTAGCCTTGACGGACCCCCAACTTTGACGGACCCCCAACCAACGGCCATTATGATCTGAAAGACATAAAACACAAAGTTAAAAAGACATGAAAAAGATACTCTGACACCTGTACAACAGCAAGAGATAGAAAAAAACTACTATGGAATTCAATGGTGCCAAAGTTTCAATCGTTCTTCAAAATATCTTCCTTTGTGTTCAGCAGAAGAAAGAAACTCAAACAGGTTTGGAACAACTTGAGGTTGAGTAAATGATGACAGAATTTTCATTTTTGGGTGGAGTATCCCTTTAAGTACTCAACAGTCTGTGGTCTCTGTTGCTGTATTTTTTGCTACATAATGCACCAGACATTTTCAATAGGAGACAGTTTTTCACTATGAAGCCACACTGTTACAATCTTGGCATTGTCTTGCTGAAATAAGCAGGGATGTCTCTTAAAAAGACATTTCATTGATGGCAGCATTATTCAAAAAATTAAAGTAAATATATTATAAACACTCAAAATAACTAAATGGGTACAAACGCATATTCAGTCCAGCTCTAAATAGCAGCAGGTTCAGTTTTACCTGTAAAGGCGCTGTCAGTGTTCCACACCTCTCTCATCACAGCAGAGCCACTCGAATCTAAGAGAATTGAAGGGAAAGATTCAAGCAAAGGCAGATTATTGTTGTTGTTCATGAACTTAACTTACTGCTGTGTGCCCGAGCAGCTTCTGATATAACAAAACTACATAAATAACTGTGTTTGAGCTCAAAACGAACAGTAGAATACGATTAATTGCTTCAAAATGAAGTCATTTTAATTTACAAGTTAATGAAAAGTATTATACCAAAACTGCACTGACATTCACATTTTTCCGCACCAATTTAACAGTACATTATTAATACCATACAATTCCATTCCATACAATTATAATATACATACGAATACATATATTAATGGAAGATTATTTAGTTAATTTAAAATAGGGTGACCAACCGTCCTGTTTTCAAGTCCTGTCCTGGCTGTTCTTTATAAAGTGATGAAAACGTCCTGGTTTTCAGAAAACTGGTGGTAAAGTTAAGGTCTACAAAATATATATGATGATATAAATATAGATGGGCAAAATATGAGATATAAATGTATGTTGTTAGTTCATATTTGTAAGTTTGTGAGAGATATTTTTGTTCAATTTGGAGGTATTTCTTTTAGTTATTTATATATTTATTTTTGTAATACAGAAGATACATTATTACTATCATTATGTCATTCATTATTTTTGAAACCTGACTTAATAAAACGTGTTGAGTAAACTCTGAGAAGCCTATCTGAATTTGTGTCTTGTAATATAACAATTTTCTATCCATACAGAGGGCATAGCTTACAATACATAGCTTATGTATTGAAATGAATAAGGCATCTGTGAGTAAACTTCGAGTATCATTTGAGTTTTCTGTCTGTCCTGTTTTTTGGTAATCACAATGGTCACCCTAATTTAAAATCAAACATAAATAATAGGCAAAGTAATATACAATTTGACCACGGTCCAAATACGTGTGATCTTGTAAACTTTAAAATGTATTCTAAATGTAAATGTAAACTTTAAAATGTATTCTAAAAGTTCAAACCCTGCACATGTTTCCTGTTCAAAAGATGTTCAGAAGTTTAATTTGACCATATTCACCATGAATGTGCAGGATTTGCACAGAAGTTAGGCTTCGGCCTCTTAATAGGAGAGGTGCTTCACATTTTGCACCAAATAACTAACCTTGACGTGTTTAAGTTAGTAATATAAAAACGCGGTAAAAATTTAAAGACGGGCAGCTCAAACCTGTCAATCACTGCCTAAATCAATACAACGCAGAGTGCAACTACGATTCGGTACTATAGTTTAAGACACCAAAGCATATCGGTTCATATAAAAACTTAAATAATGATAATTTTGGTACCTGAGGAGCTGGAGCAAACCCGTGTTATCATCACTGACAGGTTGGGGTACAATTCACGGTTTCGTGTCATCGTGAACCGACTCGATTTCGTATAATTGCGCGCGACCGCGTGCACTGCTCTTACTGATGCACGTGGACTCTGTGCAAATGTTCTGCTTCATCTTGCCTCGAAAACATGTGCGTTGCACCGTGCATATTTAATAGACAAGAGCAAAAATATATCGTCTTACGCATTAAGATTTTTAACCCTAAAATATTTTTTTTTGGGGGGGGGGGGGGGGCAAAGATTGAGTACTCGTCACAAGATTTGCTTCATTTTTTTATTAGTCAGCTTGACCTAAATCCAACATGGCTGCCAGTGGTGCAGAACGTTCAGATATTTAGATAAGTAAATATATATTAAACTTAATTTTCTTCTGAAAAAAAAAAAGAAAGAATACTACTAACATTAATTGTGAACATTGTCTTTAGGTTTTGAAGGAGAAAATTAAGTAATATGATGTTCATGTTATTTAGCACGTTTTGAAATGTGTCTCCTGAGACACGTTGCCGTTTAGGGTATAAAAAAGAGATTAAACTAGCTCTATTATCTAACCAAGTTGTGTTCCAAATTTGAAGTTGATATCACAAAAAGTGTGTTCCCATGAGATTTTGTTTAGGCATAATACAAAAAAATAGCCAAAGGGTGACTTACATTCCATTGAATTTAATTGAATGCATTCTGCCATAACAAATGAATAAACTTCTGTCCAAATATCATTTCTGTCACAAAATATGTAACCTTGAGAATCAAGACCTTTCTGACATTATGTGTTTTGTCAAGATTAAAAACAAAGGTTTTTGATCATAAATTATGAAACATGACAATGCCCAAAAGGGGAGGAGCCCGTTAAAATAATTTAGAGTCCAATTTCAAAATGGGTTTCACAGGCTGAATCTTGAGTTCGTAAGCTTTCGAATGATATATAGCCTAATTTGTCAACATTAGATCAGGTGAAGAATGGGATATAATTGTTCTAAACATACAGTGGCCGTAACAGTTAACAGATTAATGACATGGTCCTTTTTATACCCTAATCAGGCAACGTATCTCAGGAGACACAATTCATAAAATTCAAAATATATCAAATTAAAAAAAAATCTTTTGGATACGTTTTATTTAAGTCCAGATTATATAAAACAAATTAAATTAAATTATGTTTTGCTTAGCATTTTCCACTCCTGCCTGTTTAAGGGTTAAAAAAGGGTTTCATTCTTTTTACTAGATTTTTTTGTTGTTGTTGTGGGTTATTGCTTGGGTGTTGCTATGAAGTTGCTAAGGTGCTGCGTGTTTTTTTTTTGTGGCATTCGAACTTAGTATTTAGTTTATACTATGCAGTTGCTAATGGTGTTGGTGGTTGGTTGCTTATCCAAGTCAAAAGAGTCTCAATGCAAGTCCCTGTGTAATTGTCTCTAGAAATGGCTCTGGTCCCTCTTTCAAAGTAAATAGCCTATGCTTGTGAAAATCATAAGACTAATTGTTGTGAAAATTAATAACTCATCTCTCCTCAACAAGCTACACATTATCCATTATGCATGTTCATATGTGGCAAGGTAACACACTCATATGTGTGGAGCCACTAAAGGGGCATTGTGGTGGAAAAAAATATGGGATGGGAGGAATAAATATTTTTCAAAGCTTTGTGTTCTGTCTCAAAACGTTCGCGTTCTCAGAAATAATATTTTCCAGTTGGAATTAACAGGAAGTGGTTGTCCGAAATCACAACACGTTTTCTGAGAAAATGCAGTTTGTAAGTTTTGCAAGAAAACACGTTACTTGGGCAAATGCATAAGCTTAAAAAAAAAAAAAATTCCCCCATCACATATTTTTTCAACCACCATGTGACATGAGCAATACAGTGATGTTTCATAAAACAGCCATTAGCTGTGAATCAAACAGAAGAAACACACAAGTAGAACCAACTATAGCTAGTATATAAAACATTTAATAGACAAATCTTTAAAAAGAAAAACAGTAACATGCTTTACACAAGTGCTTCATTATTTAATACTATTAAAGGGACAGTTCACCCATAAATGAAAATTATGTTAGCATTTACTCACCCTCAGATTGTTCCAACCCTGTATGAGTTTTTTTTTTCTTTTGTTGAACACAAAAGATGATATTTTGAAGAATATAGGTAATAGGTAACACTGTATTTTGTTTTTTTCTACTATGGAAGTCAATGGCTACCGTCAACTATCTGGTTACTCAAACAGGTTTGGAACAACTTGAGGGTGAGTTTTCATTTTTGGGTGAACTACCCCTTTAACTGTTTAAAGCTTTATAGACCTGACATGTCTTAAAAACAGTTTGGTTGTCTATTGTTGGATCCAAGGTGAAATCATTTGTCTTTTTGGTGTCATTTACTGGAGTTAATGCGAGGTCACTATCAAAGTGGTTCCTCTTGGCTTTGCTCCCCTGCTTGCTTGATGGCTTCCTTCAGCAGAGAGATGAGGGAGGTCAATCCGATAAGGTACCCGTCCTCCCTGTTTCCCTCCACCCATGGAACATCATGCCTCAGCCGGACATCCTCTGGGGTTGGGATGGTCTTTCCAAAATCAATCATCCATATGTTTGCATTGCCGCTGCAGTCGTGGACGAAAAGTAAAGAGCTGCCTATGATCTGTGAGAAGTTGAGATGTTTATTCAGAGGCAGAGAGGAAACAAAATTCCCATAAATTGTCTTTTGAGATGAAAAATGGAGCTGTTCAGCTGTGAGGTAATTCGTAGGCCAAACTCTGGTATCGACTGAGTGAAATTAGCTGTGATCCGTCAAACACAAAACCTTTTTTTACATTTAAATATGCAGATTTAAATTTTATGCTTGAGGTATAATTGTGTCCAATTTATGTATAGAGCAAAACGTGAAAGTCTCTCGATAGGTCTTATTTTACTCATGAATCAAAGTTTGCCATTTTAAAATCAACAAGAAACTCTATAGCTTGAAATGCCAATTCTCTAAATGTTTTTTAAAGCTTCAAAGTGAACAGCTCTATAAAACGGACAAGTTTAACGTTTGCAATAACCTCGTGTTTGTAGAAAAAGGTTGACTTCTTTAGTGCTTCGCTCAATGCCTGTAATCTGGATCCGTAGGCCTCCTGAGATACACAAAGTGACAAATGAAGAATATTTTGAACTGCAATTAGACTTAGAATTAGCAATTAGGTCAAAAACAGTGCTTAAATTCAACTTGAATCCCCATTCTCAACACCAATTTACTCTTGAAATTGAAGTATTCAGAGTGAAACAAGATATCTGAATGTAAAATGTAAGTTGGGATTAGTTTAGAAACCAATAAGTGTTTAATATATTGGTAAAATAAGAGAGCTTGTTGATGTCAGCCAGAAAAGAAAATGGTTTCTGAAATGAAGCAAGTGAATGTTGACTTGATTGTTTATGTGTGCGTGAGTTTTTATGTCCACTCACTAGAATGTGAATCTGGCTCCTGGAGAAGGATAGCAGGGTTTCTGTCACTTGAGCCTCTGTGCGTGTTTTGTAAAAGTCTCGTAACACTTTACCATTCCCAATCTGAAAAAATAAAATAAAAAAAAAATAAAATATCTAAATAAATGACCATCTTGTAACTATTTTACCCTCAAGTTTCATACCACTATGCCTTCAATGCGGAAGCCCAGAGATGAGGTGGAACTGCTGTCATCCCTCCACTGTAGGTAACGCAGCTTTGTTACTCCCTTCTGTTCGTGTTCTTCTGCAGTGGGAGCTGTCGGATCCACTTTCACCATCTTTTGATACATATCAGAGCGTATGCTGGCGTTGCTCCTGGCCTTATTGATCTCCTCCTCTTGGTATGTCCTGCAAGTAATGCCATAGATTCTAGATGGTACTGTATTGTTATAGTAAATATAGTGTGATTATAAAGTCAGTGAAGAGTAGAGTAGCAAACTAAAATGGTATTTTGGACACATAGGTTATATTAAAAACTAGTGATTCACCAAAATGGATGTTTTCAAATAGCTGCCCAGCAAACAAATTTAGGTTCTGGGAACGTTAGTTTTTGGTTCCCAGAACGTTCCAAGAACTTTCCCTTAATGTTAAGGGAACGTTCCCGGAACATTGTCCTTACGTTATAAAAATGGAACCTAAAAATAACACTCTAAAAATGCTGGGTTGTTTTAACCCAACTTTGGGTCAAATATGGACAAACCCAAATGTTGGGTTAAAAATTTGATTAAAAAATGTCACCCAATGGCTGGGTTTTTCCATATTTGACCCAAAGTTGGGTTGAAACAACCCAGAAATTTTTAGAGTGAACCTACATGGAATGTTCCTATAACGTTCTTGTTTGGTTCCCAAAAAAATAACCTCATGGGACCAATCGGGAACGTTAGGGGAAGGTTCTGTGTTTGCTGGGTGAAAACCAAAACCGAAAATAAAGTTAAATTTGGGTAATTGGGTAACTAAAGTTGGTATTCTGTTCAGGGCATCATGCTCTCAGGTAATATATTAAACCAGTCATAGTGCAGTTCTTTACCAAGACGCCTCTCGATATTTCAGCCTAAATGTTTTTATATATTGCTACTTTGGCATTCTTTGTGGTCCAAATGAAGTGTGTCCACACTTCTGACTTGTTTACCCGTTGTATCTTGTCCATGTTGAGTGTACAACATGGTCAAAGCAAATCATCAGAGAAGTGCTAATTAAATGTCACAGTTTTTCTGCCCATGGTTTCAGCCCTCCAGCCATAACTGAAAGGGTATACAGGATTGTGCAAAAGTCTTAGGCTTTTAAACCAGTTATGTATGTATTTTGCTGTAGTGTGTCAGTATGGAATATCAGTTTACATTTCCAAACATTATTTTGCCATTAATTGTAATAATCCAGTGAGATTTTTGTATGCACAATGAGTCTGACAACAGCCGCTAAGCTCCACACGGAGATCTGATCTCACCATCATCAAGGCTATCTGGAATTACATGAAGAAACAGAAAAACGGAGACCGACTACATCCAGAAGAACTGGCAACATCTCCAAAACGTTAAAGAAACCTTCCAAAGATACCTGGAAAACGATGTGCAAGTGTATCTGGACAAAAGCCCACTCTAAACAATGCTGGGTTGTTTGAACCCAAATTTGGGTAAAATATGGACAAACCCAAATGGTGGGTTAAAAATGTCATTTAAAATTTTAACCCAACTTCAACTTTCACTTTCAACTGTAATTTTTTTTATTGCACTTTTAACCCAACATTTGGGTTTGTCCATATTTGACCCACATTTGGGTTGAAACAACTCAGCATTTTTTTGTGTGCAGTTTTAAATGCAAATGGTGCTCGATTTGATTTAGTAAATAGAAGTTAATTGATTAATGTATTATTTTTGGAAGCATCCTCACTTTACAGCATTTTTAGACAAGTGCCTATAACTTTTCACAGTAATGTAGGCTATCTTTGCAGTAAGGTTTCACTCTAAAAAATGCTGGGTTGTTTCAACCCAAAATCGGGTCAGATATGGACAAACCCAAATGTTGGGTTAAAAATTCAATTTCAAATTTTAACCCAACTTCACCCAATTTACTTTCAACTGTAAAATGTTTAATTGCATTTTTAACCCAACATTTGGGTTTGTCCATATTTGACCCAAATTTGGGTTGACACAACCCAGCATTTTTAGAGAGCGCATTGGAGACGTTGCCACAGTTCTTCTGGAATTAGTCTGTCTCAGTTTTTTCTGTGTCTTCATTTAATCACAGATTAACTCGATGGTGAGATCGGATCTGTGTGGTCTCTCTCATGTATTAGTATAAAAACATACCCAAAAATAACATTATTTTAAAGTGTTGTCTCTCACTTTGAGGTATACTCAACTGTACATTGTGGCTTAATGTAAAAAGACAAATTAACGTAAGTTCTCTTCCTACCGGACACCCATTTTGCAGTCCATGATGACAGGATGTTTGAGCCCACTAAGCAGGTCCTCTAGACGGATGTATCTCTCTCCGTCCTGACTGATGTGCCCAAAATAATGTGGCACAAACTGACTGAGAGCATCAGACATGAGGGCCTGCAGACAGACATCTTCCACCTTGCAAAACCTCTTCAGCACTTCCCCACCCTCACTCAGCCTTACATTACCTATGAGAAACCACACAAAACACAAAAGGATTGTTCAAACCCATGATTTTTTTGATAGAAAATGGTGAAGGTATGGTGAGGGTCAAAATGCGGTGTCCTTCACTCTAAGAAAAAAGGTACAAAAGCTGTCACTGGGACTGTACCTTTTCAAAAGGGAAAACTTTTTTCCATTTTAGGTGCTAGTATGTACATTTTAGTTGCTAATGTATACATTTTAGGTGCTAATATGGACATTTAGGTGCTAATATGTACATTTTAAGTGCTATTAAGTACATTTTAGGTGCTAATACGTACCATTTAGGTACCAATATGCACCCTTTAGGTACTTTTGAAAAGGTACAGCCCCAGTGACAGCTTTTGTACCTTTTTTTCTGAGAGTGTTTAGAAAAGCCTGAACTACGTACCTTGGTGACCAGCTAGCTGGATCCATGAGCTTTGTGTTCGTTTGGACCACTGCATCATGGTCAAAAATGTTCTCCAAGATCGACACTGGGAAAAAATGGGGTCATTTAGTGACAGTACCTTCAAAATAATTTTCAGTTTTATTTTCTAACATTGTTCATAAAATGACATGCTTCTTTAACCTCGAAGGGTTTATTGTTATACCAGTTCAAACCCAAAGATGTTACTCACTACTTGATGCATTATGGAGTATATTGCATGTTTTACTATGACAAATTGGGAATATTGCAAATGTGACAGTAACCTGCTACTTTCTGTCTACGGCACCATGCAAATAACTTATTCAAATCCGTTGAGTTATGGTACATGCAAATACACATCTAACACATTTCAGTGCACCCAAAAAATAGTGTCCTTTTCAGTTGGTCCACAGTTCATACTGAACCAGACACCAGTTTAACTGATCCCGAGAGATTCTGCAGAATCAAGATAAACCGCTTTGTGCTTTCTAAGCTTTCCCAGAATTCCACTCACCTTCTTCATCGTCTGCCTCCTGGCGGCTGTATCCTCACTCTCGCTGAAGACTTCATCACTTTCTGCTGAGGAGTTGTTGAACGAAGAGGAGGATGAAGCAGACGAGTGAAGGAGAACCCGGGAGAGAACAGGGTGGGGAACTAACTCTTCCTCACCATCTTTCTTCATGCCTCCCTGCGTATAATGATCTCCATCCCGTGACGTTTGTGGGTTTCTCGATTTTAAGCCCCAACTCTTCTTCCTGTGCACTCGTTTGTTGTTGAATTCTCCCTCGTTACCCTCATCGATACTCTCCAGACCTCCTCCCAGCCTTTCCCGCATCCCTTTCTTCAGAACCATCTCACCTCTCCACAGGCTTTTCCTAGTTGCTGCATCCAGTGCCACTTTTGAACCCTCTTCAACAAGATTTTCACTAGCCATCACCCTCTCTTTCCCTCTCTGCTCTTCCACGTCTTCATCCTTGGCCATTTGTCCAGCAGGTATTGGTGGGGGATCCACACATACATATTCCAGAGGTTCTGGTTTCGCGTCCTCCGTTTCCTCATAAGCATTTATCTGAGTTTCAATCGGCTCTTCTAGCTTGGAAGAAAGGACGGCGTGAGCGTCAGCCAGTTTAGGTCTGGCTCTGAAGACTGTGTTCTTGTTATGATGACTTTGATTGTTCAAGGATGCTGAGAAATCAAACATCTTGTCTTCTACGGCATCTCTCACGCTCTCCCGACCCCTTCCATTGCTTTTCTTTTCTGACAATGTGCTCATTCTTTCTGGAGTAGAATCCAAGCCTTTCATAAAGCCGCTAAGTTGTAAATTCTCATCAGAAACGGACGAAACTCGTGTCGTGTTATTTTGAGCTCTAGAGAACGAGAATCTGGGGGGATAAACAAAATCATTATTTGATAAATCATAATAAACAAATTACAATATTCATCTCATCAATAAACTATTGTTGTTTTTGAGGCATTTCATGAGAAGATTTCCTGGACATAAAACTACAAAATACTAGACCAAAATGTATCTGCCCAGGAAATAGCCCACATATGCTAAGTGGCACAAAGTTCAAAACAATTACTTGTAGGGGGAAAAAAAGGCACCGACTCCCACGTACCCGATTTGCCAATCTTTCATCACTCCTGTGTGTCAAGTTGAACCATCCAGCAGTTCAGCATCAAAGACTCAATGCCAGTTCAAAGTCTTGCTGTCAACGGTTTCCAGCAGTGATTTGCATAATGTGACATCACGGTTTTCCACAACGTTTTTGACAATGGGCTCTTTTGGAGGGCTGACCCACACTTTTTAGTGTTGATGACTCAAATTGCAATGTATTTCCATTTGGTAGATGCTTGCTTGTTTTATCAGAATGCACATTTCTTGGGAATTGAACACATGCCTTTGGTGTAGTTGGCACCATGCTCTGTCTATCATCTAAACTACAGCTTCTATTACTTGTTTTGTACATCTTGCTCCAAATTTTCATTTTGAATTGTTTTGTAATTCTCATTAAATTCTATATTAATACAGTATCAGTGTAAATTATACCATGATGTACAAATCCTTCATCTTGAAGTCTTTTTTTTTTTTACATTGAAAGTCATAATTATAAATGTCACATGTCCACACATAACCTTCAGTAAAGGCATATCCTCAGATCTTTCTGCTGTCACAACCAATAGATATTTCTCTGGTTATCTGTGTTTCCAAAAGAAATGTATGTAAATGAATGCAAATTAATAATGTAATTTTCCAGACATACGCCACAACCAAATGCCATTCTTCCCCCTTGGGCTATTTATTGACACAATTGACACAGTCTCGCTGTTTTCAGTGCTGTAGTTGTTGTTATTATTATATTCCACAACAAAGGATCCTTCTGGAACAGTTAGTTAGTATATAGGTTATATCAATACTTGCACTCTAAAAAATGCTGGGTTGTTTTAACCCAATTTTGGATAAAATATGGACAAACCCAGCAATTGGGTTAAAAATGTAATTTAAAAATGTAACCCATTGGCTGGGTTTGTCCATATTTTACCCAAAATTGGGTTAAAACAACCCAACCTAGAGTGTGAGAAATAACAAATGGTGGTGATAGAATTGTGCTTGTCTTGATTACTTTTGAAAAAATGACAGGCATACAAGCGATTATTTCAGGCTAGCATAAAATTCATATATTGTAAAACAAATGGTTATCAAATATGAAGTCAACTTGGTGGCCTTTGCTTCTCATTACCTTTACCCTCATTTAGAAGACGGACCATTCCTTCTCTAGAAGCTTGTACAGACACCGACACGATAGTCATTTTTATCTATGGTGTCTGGTAATAATGCTTGAGAAGTTTGTATCATGCCATGTGATAAATGCCTGTGCCTCAAAATCATTTTTCCATCCCCAGCCTCACAGATGGGCTCATCTTCAGCAAGTTCTCTGGAGTCTTCACTCTCCTCCGCCCCCATGTCTGAAATGGATTCTTCCAACTCCACAGAATTGCTCTCCATGGGGTCAACATTTTCCATAAAAATTGGGGAATCCAACAAGTCTGTTGTAGAGGCTGTTCACAGAATTAGATCAAAGGTTTGAAAGGGCATGAATGAACCACATTTATCTGTAAGCCTTTCATATTTAGATGCTTTATTGATTTGAATGTGCATTGATCTCATTTATTTTCATTTTCACTCAAGAGTTATAATAGATAAAATACACATATTTTTTAAATTGTAGGATTTTACCCTTTTTTATTATAGTAGTTGCAATTGGATTGAAACAGTACAGGAGCTTCACCTGGTGCATTTCTTTCATCCTGGGGTTCAAACGGATCATCCAGGTTATCTTGTTCATTCATTTCCTCTTGTTGCATACCAGTCTGAAGTAAAGAAAACACTGTGTGAAAAGTGAATGGATGGACAGCCTGGATAAATAGATTGGATGGATGGATCGCTAGATACGATAGAGAGCATGGGTGGATGGATGAATAAATGGATAGCTTGAATGGATGGATAGATAAGATAGAGAGCATGGATGAATGAATGGATAGCTTGAGTGAATGGATAGATAAGATAGAAAGCAAGCTTGGATGGATGGATAGCCTGGATGATAAGATAAATAGATAGCCTGGGTAGATTGGATGGATGAATGGATGTATAGATGGGTAGATATTTAAGAGCAGCGCACCTTTCCAGGTATCCTGCGACTTCCCAGATTAAACTGCAGGAAACTGAGAACGGTGATCAAACTGAGGAAAGTAAAGTTACTTAACACTCCGATCAGTGCTGTTGTCAGGGGGAAGTGATACAGCAGGTACCTGTGAAGATCAGAGTGACATGCCTGGATGAAGAATGTTAAGATTTTATTGAAGCAACTAAAGTAAATATACAGGAATACACAAACCTGATGCCTGTAAAGTGAGCGAAGATGTAGAGATGCGCTTTGTAGATCTGAACATTCTGGGAATGGATCTCAATGAAAGCTCCAACAATGGGTTTGTACTGAACAGACAAAAGAGACAACTGTACTGATGCTGCGTTCACGGAAAATAGGATATTTTCCACTTGTGAACTGGTATTTTCCAGTGTGTTGCGTTCAAGTGCTTTTTTTGTCGTAATGTGGTAAAAAGATGGAGATCCAGACCTGTTATTTAGCTAAAACTATTTTAGATTGCTTAAGTCATCTGCAACAGCAAGAAAATGATTTATCAAAACTCAAAAGGTAAATAATATGCTGTATATTTTCTAGATCATGAATAGTAAATAATTTTTTTTACCGATCCGCCATTTTTAAAAATGGTCAAGGTTATCTCGGCAACTCGTCCGTCAAAATATTCTACGAGTTGCCCAGTGGTAAATACCACATTAGGGGGTGTTCATGTGCATTTTTCACGTCGGCTTTTGGTATTTACCATAATTACCATAGCACATGAACGCAGCATGAGTACTGGGTTTGTTCCACAGCTCATATGATATGTTGTTGATTTATTTCCACTCTAGGCCATGTCCACACGGACACGGTATTTTTATAACTTTATAATAATATTTTATATTTTATAATTATGTCTGATTATATTTTTTACGCTGTTCGGCCGTTCGTCCACATGGAAATGCAGAATCAGGAGTCAGGACAAAAAACTTGTAAAAAAACTTTTTGTTAGGCTTCGTATTGGCCAACGTGGCTTTACAACGTAGGTTATATCGCCGCCTGCTGGTGTGGCATGCTCTTGACAGCGCTTGATAGCATGTTCTTGCGTTTTCATGTGGACGGGATTTTTTTTTTTTTCAAACGCAAGAGGAAAAACTGCGGTTATAAAAATACCCGTGTCCGTGTGGACAAGGCCTTAATATAAAAGAAAAATGTGTTGTCTTGTGTTCCAGTGCGTTGCTAGGGTGTTCTGAGTTGTTTTAGTAAGTTGCTATGCAGTTGCTAGGGTGTTCTGAGTTGTTTTAGTAAGTTGCTATGCAGTTGCTAGGGTTTTCAGAATCATCACTCACAGAATTATCTCTGAATTCAGAGTACAGTTCCACTATGATTGACTGCTTCTGCTCAGATGCTCCTGTTAACAGCATGGGGGAGAAGACCACTGTGCCCAGAGCCTGAAGAAGAGAGGAGCGATAATGGAGCATCGCCTGAGAGATAGAGAGAGAAAGATGAAACCACAGCTGGAGCATTGTGAAACTGGATCTTCTAAATGGGGTCAGAAAGCTCATCTTGGATAACCTATTTTGCAACAGTTGCTGTTGCAAAACAATTAATGGGCCCCTATGACTTCCTTAGTTTTTTATTTTTTTTCATGCTATGGAAGTCAATGTTTTCTATCAACTGTTTGGTTGCCCACATTCTGCAAAACATCTTCTTTTGTGTTCATCAGAAGAAAGAAATTTGCAACAACTTGAGGGTGAGTAAATGATGGCTGAATAAATTCCATGTTTTGGGTGAACAACCTGTATACGTTTAATCTCTCTCTGTCTAATAACTGCATTAGTCTGCTATCAAAGTCTCCGTTATTTGTTTTGGAATTAGCAACGGAGGCATGGGATAAGATGCATAAGAAATTAGTCCAACAAATAAGGACAAAAACCTGACAAATGTCATGAAATATAGCATATGAACAATGTCTTGAGGTGTGATAATCCAACGCATTCTCATCCCAAAGGCGTCATACTGACGTTTTTGCCAATGTGTATACTACATCCAACGCACATGGCACCCTTACCTGTTCACACCACACAACACAACGTGATTGATCCACAACAGGAGGTGACTCACTACACGAGTTAACAACGCACTACATAGAGATACAACCACGATCGGATGATAAGAGCATATCATTTGTGACTCAATGAGAGCTGTTTCAGTACTATAGTACGGTCTAAATCCTGAAAATAATCAAACAAATAACGAGTTGACAACAACACTTTTCTATCTGGTCTAGAAACCATGTTTTGTCACGAAAAACCACGCAATAAAACGAACCAGAAATGACGCGAAACTGCAGAGAAGAACACAACACGCGAATATGGACGTCAGACAGAAACTAGTGCTGCACACTGTTTGCTCGACGAACTGCTCTGAGAAAAAAAAAATGCAAAAAAGAAAAGAAAAAGTAAGATTTACCTGGTGTCCTCAACCCATGCGTTGCTATGATTGGCTGTACTCATGACATCACTGAGATTGAGTCGCGCGACTGCTCGAGATATCTAGCAGGCTAGATATTTTTCTGAGCTCGGTGACCTGTCTGCGAGCTGTCTGCGAGCTGTCTTTGATGCGTTGTTGGCTCTTTCACACTAACGGATTGGCGAGCGTTAATCGTCCGCTAATCGCCCGCGATTTGCACGCGATAACACCCTGACTTGTCGGCGACTCAACGATTTGCAAATCGGGCTTAAATCGGGCTTAAAATCACGTAGTGTGAACTAGGCTTTAGCGTCAATATGACACGCACCCACAGGTCTGGGGTAGGGTTAGGGTTAGACCACTAGGAGGCGCCTTCTGGCCCGTATATATCTGCGTCAATAAAGGGTGCCATGTGCGTTTGATGTCTACGCATTGGCAAAAGCTTCAGTATATGATGCCTTGGGATGAAAACGAGCTGGATAATCATAGTGTAAGCTGAATAACTGACTACGGTCCGTTGAATTATAAGAAAATAATGCACATTAATGCACTCGGGGCCGCTTTAGCATTAACGTGGGTGCATTATTTTCAAATAATTCAATGGTCCGGAGTCAATTTACTTGTTTGACAACTTGTATCATAAAAATACATTTTCATGTGTTTCACTGCCTCCTAGTTTGTGCACTTACAGAACGTGTTGATATGTCAACAATCTGATTAGTTTTAGAATAAGGAGAGATTTTCACAAGGAACATTCCCTGCTCCTGATTGGCTGGAGACTCTGGCATTTCCAGTTCGAGTGAGATCTGATAGGGCTGGCCGTATGTCATTACCTGTAAGCAGGAAAGAGAAAAGACAAAAAACAGCATGGGCTTATATGAAATATTATACCACGCAATCTATTTTGGAAATATGTCAACTGTTTACAGTATGCAAATATTCTGTATGCATGGAATCTCCCGATGAATGCACAATATGTTATACAAAATGAGCCCACTGTAGAGCATTGTGACTGAATAAACTTTTTTTTAAATAAAAAGAAATTATTTTCTTTTTAAACACCAAAAAAGTCAATTTTGCACAAAATTGGATTAAGATGCTAAAACAAAATATGTATTTATTTTTTAGCATAAAACACCAATGAGATAAACATGCAATGAGGTCATGTGACGACAATGCAGCATGCTGGTGTTTGAAATTGCATACAGTTTCACATAATAAAGAATAGTATAGCTCTATGTCATAAGTCATTAGTTTGAAAGGATACTGAAAAGTTTAAATTAAAACTTTAAACAAGGAATAGATCAAGAATGGTCACCTGATCCTTTCCATTTTTCAGTAAAGAGACATTAGCCACAGGGAATGAACACATGGGGTGATGAGGAGATGGACAATCACTCCTGCTGCCCAGAAACACATTTGACATGAACAAACAGATGATAGACATAAAAAACAGTTAACCCTCTGGTGAATGTAGGCTGATTTTGTGACATTTCCCCCAATATTCAGAGCTTAGGCAAATTTCTAAGGCCTTTAAATTATCAACATGTCAAAACTTTACTGAAAAATGTTGTACACAATCTACTACATGCCTTCTGTCATCCGATTGATAGTTTATACTTTTTAGCAAGTAAAAGCCCGTTTAGTGTCATTCTAAAAACGTTCCCCTTCAGCTCGCGATTCACGTGTCCTTTTTTTTTTTGCTGTGGAATCTTTACTAATTTTAATAAAGTAAACATAACAATAACTTTCTTGGTTCCTGAAAAAATATTTCAAGTTAGTTTACTTAAATCGTGTAACAAATATCCTGTCAAATATGATGCTTTTGACGAATCTCTCAATCATCTTACTATTGAATTGTGTTATTTTATAAACGTAATACAATTCAACCCCACCATACCCCCAGCACATACTGTACAATTTTTTTTCTTTTAAGAAGATATCTCAAAAATAAAGTTTCTTTAATTGGCATTGATGGTTCCATGAAGAACATTTAAGGAACACTCCGACTTTTTGGGACTTTAGCTTATTCACCATATCCCCCAGAGTTAGATAAGTCTGTACATACCTTTTTCATCAACTCTGTCTGACGCACCCACCGCTAGCCTAGCTTAGCACAAAGACTGGATGTAAATGGATACAGCTAGCATACTAATCCCAAATAAGTGACAAAATAACAAGGTCATATGAGACACAGCCATCTTTTAACCGTATAAATATTGGGAACTATATTCTCAGAAGGCGAAGCACTTCTTATGACCTTGTTATTTGTACACTCTGTGACTATACAAATCACAACATGTAAATAGGAAAATGTTTGCGTAATTTTGTCACTTATTTGGGATTAGTATGCTAGCTGTATCCATTTACATCCAGTCTTTGGGCTAAGCTAGGCTAGCGGTGGGAGCGTCAGACAGAGTTTCAGCACGCACGGAGATGAAAATGTATGCATGGATTGATCTAACTCTTGGAGATCTGGTGAATAAGCTAAAGTCCCAAAAAGTCGGAGTGTTCGTTTAACATCAATAGAACCTTTCGATTGTACAAAAGGTTCTCTAGCGGAAAAAGTTTCAAATTTGAAGAAAAACAGCTTCAAATTTAAAGAACTGTTCACTGAAAATGTTCTTTGGGGAACCAACAATGGTTCTTCAATGGCATTACTGTAAAAAAAAACCTTAATTTTTAATAGGGCATGATATCCTGCTAGGTAACTGTAAACATCTCACCTGTAGAAGAAGTGGACAGGTGTGATGAAATTGGCTGTGGGCATAAAGGAATAATAGAAACTGCCGTAGAGGAATAAAGCCACCCAGAACAACAGCAGAATCACACAGATCAGAACCGCTATTTCCAGAACCTTCTGTCTGACCCGCACCAGCAGCACTGACATCTTCTCCAGGATCCGGACCACCAGCCCGTTGAGTTGAGGTCCCACATCTTGAACACCTGAATCCTCTGAACTGAACTCCTCCATACTGGGGTGCAGGTTTCCTGAGATTTATTTCTTCCAGTGTTGTCGCACTGCTATCTCAAAAATGTCTTTCCCAACAACTTCCCCTTCCCTTTCGGTGTCAGCTGTCTTTCTCTTTATAACATACCAGAACCTTCCTCATTACTCAGAAAAAAAACGCTGCCCATTTCTCACCACCACCCCATGTTTCGAGTTCTTCTCCTCTGAAGCTCTGACGTCTGACTTGGATTCATTTGAAATATTCTGAATCAATGAACAAGCTCTTTTTAATAACTGTTTCTGCAGTAATGGGACTGTGACACCACGGTTCCTGGAAAAAAACGGACGGTCCGAAGAACAGCTGGAGTCCAGTGGGACGACGCTGGGACTCATGACCAGCATGTGAGGCAAAGGACAAGGAGCGCTGTTAGGAAATACAAGGGGTATGAAATATCCAAGACAAATTATTTTATCTATGAGTATGTGAATCTTGATGCCTTCAAAGATAATGCAGTACAATTGGTAATGGTATTTAAACCAAGCAAAAACAGTTGTCCGTTTGTGAGAATCACATTAGTCATGTCACTGATTTGCAAGGCTTGATATACAACCACAAATCCATTGGATGCACAAAAGACAAATGCAGCTTTAAAAGCACAGTAAATCAGGACAATGTGAGACAAGACAAGGTTTCAACAAATAGCTGTCTGTTATTATGAGGTTGGAGCTTGAGCTGGTCACAGTTGACTATTGGACTCTTATATGAAGTTAAGAGGTTTGGCACACAAAAGTAAAACATAAATAAACGGGCTATCTTGTTTACAACCCTATTGTACTGTAAATTTAGGGCTGTGTCCCCCTGTGTGTTTTTGTAATGCATCTCTCCTACCAATAGATGGCGTCAAACATCCTTTTGGTAAATTCATTTTGCTGTAATGTGGTTTATGGTGAAATATACTGAAATATAGTTTTTTTTTTATTGTTAAAATAGTGTTGATAAAAATGATAGCAAATGCACTTAGTGATTTGTTTCTACTGAAGAAGAAACCCAAGCCACATTGAGACATAAAATGGTCTCTTTTGACTTGGGAACGGTAAATAATTACCTAGCAACAACCTTAGAAATCCCAAAGCAATGCCCTAGCAACACTCTAGCATTGTGCCTGTGAGTTTAGCATCAGAAATATAAAAATGAGGTAGTTGATTATAGCTGGTATCAAATGTCTGAATGGCTTTATTCAGATTCCATTTCTTTTATTCCTTTATTGTATCTCAAAAACAAGTATTTTTCTCTAAAATGAGCTCTACTTAAAAAAGGTGCCACATTTTTCACGTGCCAGAGAAAGAGCAGGAGATGATAGGTATTCTGTGGATGATTTCAAATGACCTGCCAAAGAAAGATTGCTGGCCTTAGCCTACATACATATTTAAAAAGGGATCTTGCAGGTGATTCAAATTGTTCCACTAAGTGGAATAGTGTTTTTGTTCTGATGGATTGACAAAGGGAGATAAAGTGAAAATTTAAAGCATGACTCCTTTAATCTGAATTGAATTTGTAAAAATGAAAAAGGTAGCTGAACTGTAGAGGAGACTTCTTCATCCCCTCCTCCTCCTCCTTCCCTCATGCTGCGGTATGACTCATTTGCAAATCATATACACCCCTAGTACGTATGTAAAGCTATGTACAGCTGCACCCTTGGCTGTTAATTCAGTTCAATGCAATGCAATTCAAGTTTATTTGTAAAGCGCTTTTCACTATACATTTATTTTTTTCTATAGCTTTACAGAAAATGCTTTTTCTAATGTTACAATTTAGGAAGAATTCTGTTATCGGCCAGAGATGAGTATAATGTCCATATCCTGTAATATACAGCTTTGATATACTGTATTACATGATGTTATGTGGTTAGTTAACTTCGTGTATTCAGTTGAGCCAACACAACCACAGCAATTTCAACTTGTGCTCTAAGGATAATATTACAATATTAAGATAATATTTGAAGAGTTCAGATGCAAAAGCCTCTAAGTGCCATTTGAAATTTTCTTCTAGAATGATCATTTTTATCAAGCTTGTATATTTAAGTTCAGTAATTTCACTTAAATGGCAATGATAATTACCTATTAATTGTTATTTCAGTGAAATTACTGAACTTAAATATATATGTTTGATAAAAATCATCATTAAAGAAGAAAATTTCAAATGGCATTTAGAGGCTTTTGCATCTGAACTCTTCATTTGCAAGTCTTTTATTCCCCTTTCGGACGTACGTATATCCGAGTGAAACATCTTCTGGAACAAGCAAAAAAATAAGGGCGGGACTTGATTTTGTCCATGGGGAATTGATTGGATGGTTTTGGTTTGCTATTGGTGGATCTCGTGTGAGTGACAGGTTGGCCTCGCCCCCCAGTAAACACGTCATCAGAGAAGAGAAGAGATGTCGCTGCGAGAGAGAGGGGAAGTTATTTTGATTAAAGATTATAGGGCATATGAATTATAAAAAAAGAATGATGTGCACGGATTAATCATTTGTAATAAATGTTGCAATGTTCCATAAAAAAAAAAAACCGCTATTTTGATTTCATGGTGACTTAAGGGCAGCATTGCATGTATCCTTTATGAAAAAGCCAACCCCATCATCATACAGTGCAACAAGTTCAGTAAAAAAAAAACTAAATGTCAGCATGAACATTACTTTTTTAATGGAAAATTTAAGTGTTTATTATAATGATTTATCCATGCAAATCATAATGTCCCCCTCTTTAATCAAAAGCTTAACTTCCTACTTTTTCTTTAATGCCGACTTTAAAACATAGCATGTGTTTTTACTTCTTTTACCCTGTAGAGGTCACTGTTACTCCCTCTTTTTCACTTTGAAATGTAAAAAACATGCACAGCTAATGGCTAAAGTGCAAATTATTCTTTTTCTGCAAGAGAAATAATATAAATGTTAAAGTTTACTGTAAACAAATTTAACAAGATAAATTGTTATATGCTTATGAAACAGAAGTGACAGATCTTTTATTCAATATTTAGATGAACATCCAAGAGTAGCTTATCGAGAGGACGGGACTTGGTTCTATCAATGCATCGGTTGTTGATTGGAATTGAAAATGTGGGCATCGCACTTAAAAATGGAGGCAGATAAATGTTAGGTTTCAGTGGTTAAAGCAAGATAAATTATTAGAGATGTCCTACATATGTCACCAGAGAGAAGTCTTTAGCTGTGTCCGAAATCACTCCCTATATAGAAAATGACGTTTGAGTCCTATGTGGGAAGAAGGGAATGAAAATGAGACAGCAAATTTGGACACTGACGGAAATATCATGTGTCAGAGAGGACTCTGTCGAGGACAATTTCGCACTGTGTAAATCAATAACGCTGTATCTATATCTTCAAACAGATGTACTTTAATTAGGAAAAACGTACAGCTACATTTGTAAAAGTTGCCACCTCTGGTGTTGCCATCCACTATCAAATTCATTGAACGTACACTTGAAATCAAGAGTACATCGTGAGTGCAAAAGATTGAACAAACTTAGGGAATGATGTTCACTTCAGACACCACTAAAAATGGCCGACACATGATAGAGTGTACTATAGGAAATAGTGAGCATTTTCAGACACAGCTTGTCATTTCAAAGTTATGATATTTTGATTGAACATTACAAGATCAATGCATGTATGGAAGAGAGAGGCCGCACTTTGCATATACAGTTTTATTATACACAAACGCGTTTCGGCGCGTGCCTTCTTCAATGTGCACGCGCCGAAACGCGTTTGTGTATAATAAAACTGTATATGCAAAGTGCGGCCTCTCTCTTCCATACATGCATTGTCATTATTAGGCCAGCACTCTTAAAACAATTTGAGGTATAAACTTTGAGTGAAGCCTGCTCCAACCTCCATTTATAGCCTACATTACAAGATCAAAAAATGAACGTAAAAAAAAAATATATGCATGGATGAATCATTCACAACATGCATTTGAAAAATAGATAGGGTGAATTTTCAAGTTGTCAATTTTGAGCAGTACACATGACCATAAAACTACAATTGTATTGGCAAAAGTTCTTTCCAGCAACATTGTATTGGATCTAGAAGGGCAAAAGCTTATCCTCCAATGTGTATAGGGAGCGCATGTGAAGGTTTTATACGACATCATGGCAGGTGTCCTCTTTCCATTCGGCTGATTTCTTATTACAATACAGTAATAAAGCCATCAGTGACCTCTACTCTCTTTACCACGCCTCATAATCTCCCTCTATCATTCTCTCTCTCCCGTCCTTAACTAGCCCTTGTCTGACAGTTGCACTTTTGTCATACTGGGGGATATGTGTGTGCAAATCATTGCAAAAACATTATATTCTGACCACTTAGTTATGATGTAATTTGATGTGTTCACTCACTGTTCTGAATCCACTGCATTTCATAATCCCATTATCACTTTTTGCCCTGTGAGGGAACATACACATCACAATATTCCTCATTTAAAGGGATAGTTCACTTTAATTTTGGTTTGTTTTAGCTTACCTCAAGGGCATCCAAGATGTAGGCGTCTTTGTTTCCGCAGTATTTTCAATTTTGATATTTTTAGGTCAAACCGTTCTTGTCTGACAGTCATATAATGAAGGTCTATGGTCACCACCTCAAAGAGCATGCACAGAGACGTCCAAATTAAACATGATTTAATGACTCGTAAATGTAAGCACACATTGATGGCCTAAGACACGAAACGAGCAGTTTGTGTGAGAAAACGAGCAATATTTATATAATTTTTTACCTCTTGTAACCACAACCACAAAGCAACCGTGCCCTCAGATCACTTCTGTGGTTACAAGAGGTAAAAACGTAATATAAATACTGTAATAAATACAGTAATATAAATACTGTTCGTCTTAGGCCATCAATGTGTACTTACATTTACGAGTCATTAAATCATGTTTAATTTAGACTTCTCCGTGCATGCTCTTTGAGGTGGTGACCATAGACCTCCATTATATGACTGACAGACACGAACGGTTTGACCTAAAAATATCAAAATTGAAAATACTGTGGAAACAAAGACACCTACATCTTGGATGCCCTTGAGGTAAGCTAAAACAAACTAAAAATTAATTTCAAAGTGAACTATCCCTTTAAATGATTCCGCCTAAGATATATGCAAAAAAAGGGGGCGAGGCCTGATCCCTTCGAAGCGTTTGACCAATCACAACACACAGGTCCAGCCGACCAATCAGAGCACATTGCACTTTTCAGAACCAGGGGCTTCATTGAGACAGGAACTAAACAGAGAGTTACTGACAGACTGAGAAGAGAGCTGCTTCAACAATGTCAAATATAGATTAAAACTGAGATAGATTTACTTTCAAATGCCAGTTCCATTACATTGACAGTTTAGCTGACTTTAACTTGCTCAACAAGACTCCTCTCTCTGCCACACAACTGAATTTGACGTGAAAGAGAAAACTGACCAGTTTACGCTAATGCCCGCTATAGCATCCTTTGAGGCAATGCTGTAAATAGACCATGTAGCCTACTTGTGTTGCATAATAAACTCTATCCTGACACATTTCAGAACTCAATGGTGCATGAAATTGAGCTTGCATAGCTAGAAGCATTTGCGTTCATGTATTTGCACAGAGTACGTTTCTGGGCTAAGGAGGTAATTGTGCAATTTCTGATCATTTTGAATCTGGATGGCAATTTCTTTGCAGGTCGTTTTCATAAGACCTTATTTGGACTTTTTTAACAATCTTCAGTTGCTCTCGCACCAAAGCACGTTTAACAGGAGTATTCTAGAGCTGGAGTGTGTTTTGTGTTTCTGACACTAATGGCTCCAAACAGAATTGCTAAAATAACGATTTCAAACAAGTTTCCCCGAACACTCCCTCCAGTCTGCCATTGGCCAGTCAAACAAATAGTCCCGCCCCAAACTCACACCATTGGTGGATCATCATGATTCTCAAACAAACAATTATAGCCACTGATTACATTTGTATAAACTGCATGCTAAGATGGCATAGAAAAAATACTTTCATCCACATAAGCCAAAAATACATTTTCTGGCTTTTCTCAGTCTAGAAAGCTCCAAATTCAAAAATAATTTCACATTTCTTCTACATAAATGACCCATTTTAAATACACATTCATCTTTCCAGAGGTGGAATGACCCTTTAAAAGAAAAGTACACTTTTGTTAGGCTCCCAGACCAAGAAAACCCGTCGACAAAGGAAATTAAAGGGAACAGCATGTGTCTCTTCGCCTGTCTGACACCAAGGATTCAGCCGAGTTGTTTCAGCCTGACAACATGCTGATTATTTCTAGCAAGCAAACACCCAGACCAGGTGTCACCAGGCTTTCATTACTCAACAATAAGTCTGGTAGTAGGCAAAACAAGGTGCTGTAAACTGCAGGAGAATCATAAGCAAGCAGATCCAGTCTAATAAACACCATATGTCTGGATATAGTTTTTTTATTTATCCTACTGATCTGTGATTAGAGCTCATTGCTTGCACGAACTTCAGAGACGAGAAATCTTACAGGATTACTGGGTTTATTTACTGTTATTCCATAAAAGCGCACATATTAGAAATACTAATGCTGACACAATAACATGATTCACGGAACAACAATTGCTCTCGCTGCGGTCTGTGGGAGAGAAACTTGGCTCAGGTGCGTTTATTTTCCAGCATGCCTGTGATGTGAGCAGCCAGTGAGGTCAGAGATGAAGCCTTTCCGGGTGGCCATCTGCCGACTAGAACGGTCAGACACGCTCACATGCTCTGACTCACACACTCAGACAAAAGCACACATGCGTTTGCAAGCTTGGCTCGGTGCAACGCGCTGGATTAATGACTGGAACTGGAAAAGACGTGAATCTACAACCACAAAGAATGACACACACCTGCAGGTGGATGACATCATAGCGAGGCTTGGGTCACCCAAACTGAAGGATGAAGTAATTTTGCTCTTTTGTGCAATGCACACCCACCCACACATACTCTAATGGCACGCATACTTGCACACAACAATCTCACTCACAAACAAACACACACACACACAGCATTGATTGTAGCCTGATGCATAGTGACAGGCATGCATAATGGCAGTGGAAAAACATGTAAATGATGGGTGGGCAGTGCTAACATAGCTGTCAATCATCCTGGATCTGTCTCCATTAATACAAAACACATTTCACGCATGGCAACAGGAAGGCCATTTCAAAAATGTTAAAGCAAGATGCATGCATTACCTATGAAATTGTTGTTTTTCTGTATCTGTACTGTAAGTAGTAAAATTAGCTTATTAGTGGTCACGATATTAAAAAGACACTTCACCCAATAAATGAAAATTCACAATGTTCACCTTCATGTCATTCCAAACCTGTGAAACACAAAAGAAGTTTAAAAATTAGTGTCTCTGAGTTTTTTTGAATTTCAATGATGTTTAAACCCTGCCGACTTAAACGTCTGAATGTCAAATTGAATGTTACCTTATTTTGTGCAGATTTTTTTGAGAAGATCTCTGCTATTACATTTCAAAGTGGTCTGACTTGTGATTTACACCCGAAGAAAAAAATAAATCCCATAGATGGGACCTTACTCCAAGGTCCCCAATAGGAGAAGACGATATTCAAAGGCCCCCACAGCACTTTTTCTGCTATTATGACCATTTTTTTTTATATACAGAAACTAGGAGTGGCAATATCTTAAAATAATGAAACAATAATAATTTTAATAAATAATAATAACAATATATATATATTTTTTTTAACTGTTTTTAACTGTTTGTATTGTTATTTATTTATTTAAATATATGTACTGTGTTGTCTCTATGGACCTTTGTGTCTGGAATAAAGTTGATTGATTGTTTGAACAAGAATAATAATAATAATAAAAAATAAAGACAATTTAAGTAATTAAAATCCATAAATACAGAAGTTTCAATAACTGAATGGTTTTCAGGATTTGCACTTTTCATTACCAATGAAATTACATGGCGTTGGCTGTGGTTACAAGAGGTAAAAACGATATAAATACTGTTCGCTTTCTCACACAAACCACTCATTTAGTGTCTTAGGCCATCAATGTGTACTTACATTTACGAGTCATTAAATCATGTTTAATCTGGACTTCTCTGTGCATGCTCTTTGAGGTGGTGACCATAGACCTCCATTATATGACTGACAGACAAGAACGGTTTGGCCTAAAAATATCAAAATTGAAACTACTGCGGAAACAAAGACACCTACATCTTGGATGCCCTTGAGATAAGATAAAACATATCAAAAATGTATTTCAAAGTGAACTATCCCTTTAAAATTCTATGGTTCTAGATTTTTATTAATTTTACCAATTTGTTCTCGTAATGTTTTCACATATTCCCTATAGATATGAAAAAAAAAAATTGCTCAGGGATCAGATATGTAGCAAAGGTCAAATATTGTTAATGAGTTTGCGTGCATTCATTCTGCCTCTGATTAATACACGCTCCCGTTTAAAGGTCATATGTCATGTTTCATAAAATGCTGTGCCAACACTGACCGGGGCGTCCATCACGTTCGCCTGATGACAGCCAAAGCTTTAATGACGGCATTTAGATGAGAACGGCTTTCGTTTTCCTGCCAATTACTGCCGATTGTTCTCGTTCGTTCTCCACTTTGGTGTTTTTATCGTTGGTTTTTTAAAGCATATGAATACTTCAATCAGCCAAAGCAGGCTGTAGAAATATATTGACTAATTAGTGAAAGTAAAAAAGACTTTGAGCTTGCCAAGACTATTCATTTTGTATTAAAACTTTGACAGACAGCTTGTAAATGTGTTGAATTTCTGTTTACAGAAATCATCTGTCAGACTCTTTTATTGAAAAAGAGCCTCAGCTGAACTGCCAAATAATTACTGTATTCATCATTTGTGATAGAAAAGATGGCATTATAAACATTGCCCTGGGCTTATTGTATTTTTTTTAAACAGTCAATGCATTATATATGCTCAAAGATGTAGGTTGTCTGTCCTTCAGGAGCTTTTTCTAGTAAAATCCTGTAAATGGAGACGGATCGTTAAGTGTTTGATGTCGGCTTCGTTTTTACTTAATTATAAGGCACTATTCGCTTGTCTGTCATCGTCTTTGCACTGCAGACACAACAGATGGACATGTTTGTGCAGTGAAGGTCATTTGATACTAGCGGTGGGGCAGATTGCTCTCTCTCTTGCGCTCTTCATTCAAACCCTCAAGGACTGTCTCTCATCTGATCCTTCAGAAGTCGTCCTGTAGACGAGCTTATTTTACAGTCTGAGCGAGTGAGTGATTTGGGCTCCTTCAAAAGTAGCACTACAACCTTGAAGAGGAGATACTGATATTACTTTGCGGCATGTACTGTACCGATGTAGCACTTATTATTTTATAGGCTCCTCTGTGTTTGTCTCTCTAGTACAGTAGTTCTGATGGCTAACGGCCCGTTTCTTGTTTTAGAAGGATGCATCTGAGTTTTAGTGCTTGCCGTCCATGTCCAATGCCAAGCACAAATGATTTGGCCTGAATTCTCTCTGTTTGGCTCATACGCGCTCATTAGCACATGCTAATCCATTTTGCTCTATTAGCACAAATGGAATTCGGCATCATTTCTAATATGAAATGTGTTGCTTGATTACACTGTCTGATATAGTGAGATTCTGACTAAATTGATTCAAAAGCAGAGCTTTAAAAATCTATTAATTTGGTATGTTTTTAGTAAAATTATAAAATATGTATTATTAGAACACTGTACAGTACATTTCCAATACATATGTGATAGGTGAGTGTTTAATGTTGTCAAATTTCCATTCATATTTCATAATGGGTAATCTAACTTTCTAGATTTGCAATTGTACATTATATATATACTGTATGTATATAACACCAAAACACATTGTATAACAGATTAGAGAGATAGATTAGTAGACTAGATGGTAAGCAAAAATCAGTTCTCATAATTAAAGGGATAGTTCACTTTTAAATTAATTTTTAGTATGTTTTAGCTTACCTCAAGGGCATCCAAGATGTAGGTGTCTTTGTTTCCACAGTAGTTTCAATTTTGATATTTTTAGGTCAAACCGTTCTTGTCTGTCAGTCATATAATGGAGGTCTATGCACTGCAAAAAGTATTTTCAAGATTTGTTATCACATCTTTTCTTTATAACTTTATAATAATTTATTTTGTTGAGATAACTTATTATTTTGAGTTTCTGATGATTAAATTAATCTCCTTTATTGTATTTACTCCCTTTTTCCAGTTCAATCAACTTAAAATTTAAAGGCAACCCAGGTTACTTACTTTTTTAAGTTAAACCAACAATATTTTTAACAGTGTAGTAATCACAACATTTTTTCTTTTGTCAAATCAATTTGATAATAATTTGTTTAGTTCAGATAACATATAATTTTGAGTTTCTGATGGTTAAATCATTCTCCTTCATTGTATTAACTCACTTTTTTCCAGTTCAATCAACTTAAAATTTTAAGGCAACCAGGTTACTTACTTTTTTAAGTTAAACCATCAATATTTTTTTTACAGTGGTGGTCACCATCTCAAAGAGCATGCACAGAGAAGTCCAAATTAAACAATAATGCACCCTGCCACACTGCACAGATTGTTCAGGAATGGATTGAGGAACATTGTGAAGAGTTCAAGGTGTTGATCTGGCCTCCAAACTCCCCAGATCCCAAATCTAACTGAACATTTGTTGGATGTTCTGGACCCACAAGTTCAATTCATGGCGTCTCCACCTCATAACCTACAGGATTTGAAGGATCTACTGCTAACAACTTAGTGCCAGAAACCACAGGACACCTTCAGGGCTCTTGTAGAGTCCATGCCTCAGCAGGTCGGTATGGAAGTGTATTGCATTCACTTTTGCTCTGTTTTTATGAATTAATGATCTAAACAATTATGAGTAACTAATTAATTCATAAAAACAGATTGAAAAAAAATGTTTTTAAAGAAAAATATATCTTGTAATTGTGAGATAATTAACTCGTTAATTCAGAAAAACAGAGTAGATATTTTTTCTTCAAGTGAATGCAACACGCTTCTGTAGGTCGGTGCTGTTTTGAATTATATATATATATATATATATATATATATATATAGTGTAAATAATTGTGCATGTTAAATTCAACATACACATCACATACCATATATTTATCAAATGTAAAACATTATTCCTTAAAAGGATTGTCTTTTATATAGGGTACGTTTGCAACCCATTTTACTTTCATAATCTGACCTATTTCTGAAAAATAAATTTGACAAACAAATGTTGGAAAGGCCTTGATTTTATCCACTGAGAATTGAATTGGATCACAAAACGTAGGTGTTAAAAAATGCAAAATTGAAAGTCATTTCAGAGGCAGAGCAAGTTATTATATTTGGAAAACAGATTACAAAGATTATAATTTTTTTTCTATTTGGAAAATCATGCACCAATGAATGATGCACAATAAGAACAAGGGTGTGCATTGCATTTTGATTTCATGTTGACTTTAAGAACAGAGCTTCAGCACACTGCATTTTGTGTTTCTTCACTCCTTCTATAATTTGAAATTCCTCTCACACATCTGCAACCTCTGATATTTATGCGTCCTCTACAGGGTTTTTTGGAGAAAAAACAGCCAAATACGCACCTCCATGTGGCGGTCACAGCCCACGGCAGACAGAAGTTTGAAGGGGAGTGTAGCTGAAACATGTTGCACTGATTTCTCCACTAATGCTGTGCTGATGTCACACAAAAAGAAAGGTCCATTTAGAGCAATTCAGGACATTTTCAATTAAAAATTACAAATGGCGAAACATTTGTTCCCCTTTGGGATTACACTGTTCATTGAAATAAATGATTCAAGTCAGGAGCGTGCATTTTTCTTTTTTACTTACAAAAACACACACATGGTCATGATTAAACTGAGCATAAAATTAAGCAGTCATCTATTTTTAGTGATATAAACGACAACTAATCTTAAACAAATGCAATGCACCATTACGCATACCTAATTCTAATCTAAAGTTATTATGTTTTAAATTACAATACCATATTCTGCCATATTTTTCTAATTGGAAGAGTGATTTAAAGCATTGTCAAGATAAACAAAGAATGGGAAGTTGCTTCTAAACGATCAATACACTATTTTAATCGAAGCCAACACACATTTACCCAAGACCATGTGCTAAATCTGCTCTGAAACTACACAAGGTCTACAGGGAGACCAAATGAGTTATCTGGAGACGAAGGCAGATTAAAAAGGCAAGCGCACACCTCACTTGGCTCCCTGATTAAACAGGAAGAGAGAGGGCGGCTGAGTGGAAGTATTCTGCTCACAAACGCAATCTGAAAGCATCATTAGGGCAGATGCTGCTATGTTCATTGTTCAAAAAGTTCATCTGTACGCCTGCAGCCCGATAATACAGATTATTTCCTCTCCCACTTCCACCTCACACACTGTGATTCATTTACATCGCTGGTGAGGGTTCAGTCACATAATGAATGAACACTTTCCAAACAACAGCAGCCAATGTGTTAAAACATGTAATAAGCCTGACCGTGGTCGAACAACGGCTGTTTTAGTACTGAAAGCCAGTGGAAAGGTCAATTGCACATTTCAAAGGATGAGTTCCTGGTGTGCTCATGAATAAATTAGTGTGGGCTGAGCAGATTTGCTGTCTTAATGGTGTCATTAATGGCCACAGCCTATTGAAAATGCCAAACTGTTAATAGATAAAAGCGTGTGAATGTATTTGAGGAGTTTTACCTTACGTGAGGGGCGATGAATCATCCAGCGTACTCTCTAGAGGAAGAGACTAAATGTATTTATACCATTGCAGAAGAAAATGAAAACAGAGTCAGACAATCCTAACTTAAGTATTTACTTGTTTATATTAAATAAATGACTAAATAACTTAAAAACATACAGTAAATAACTATCCCTTTGAACCCTTTACAGTATATTCAGCATCATTTATTTTAGCCGTAATCCACACATTTTATTTAAGTCCCTGTAAAGGCAATTCTACAAAAAAGTTCTAAACACATTATAAATGTTGCATATGTATTGCTAAAACATATTACAAAGACTGTGAACTGTGAAGTACTAGACCGTTAAACAGTTTTTCACCATTGCAATTTTACGGATTGTTTGGGCGGGGCTAAAACAGGGCTCGATGACAAGACCTCATAATATGTGAACGCACTAACAGCACGATCCTACGGAGGCGTATTGCATTCACTTGAAGAAAAAAAATCTACTCTGTTTTTTCTGAATTAACGAGTTAATTTTTCATGAGAAAAAAAAATTGCTCTGTTTTTCTGAATTAACGAGTTAATTTTTCATGGAATTTTTTTTTTTGCTCTGTTTTTCTGAATTAATGAGTTAATTTTTCATGAGAAAAAAAATATTTTGCTCTGTTTTTCTGAATTAATGAGTTAATTTTTCATGGATTTTTTTTTGCTCTGTTTTTCTGAATTAACGAGTTAATTTTTCATGGATTTTTTTTTTTTGCTCTGTTTTTCTGAATTAATGAGTTAATTTTTCATGAGAAAAAAATATTTTGCTCTGTTTTTCTGAATTAATGAGTTAATTTTTCATGGATTTTTTTTTTTTTGCTCTGTTTTTCTGAATTAACGAGTTAATTTTTCATGGATTTTTTTTTTTGCTCTGTTTTTCTGAATTAACGAGTTAATTCAGAAAAAACAGAGCAAAAACTTTTTTCTCATGAAAAATTAACTCATTAACTGAGAAAAACAGAGCAAAAAAAATTCTCATGAAAATTAACTTGTTAATTCAGAAAAACAGAGCAAAAATTTTTTTTTCTCATGAAAAATTAACTCATTAATTCAGAAAAACAGAAATTTTTTTTCTCATGAAAAATTAACTCATTAATTCAGAAAAACAGAGCAATTTTTTTTCTCATGAAAAATTAACTCATTAATTCAGAAAAACAAAGTAGATGTTTTTTCTTCAAGTGAATGCAATACGCCTCCGTACGATCCTGCACCGCAACACACACTGCAAACGGGTGTAAAACGGACGTTAGATCCACTACAGTTCTAAGAAACTTAGATGTGTTTAAGAACTCTTTATTTCGTACAACAGCAGCACTCATCTTGTTTGTTTATTAGTGGATGCGGATGACCAGTCGTAGACCGGAAACTGATACGTCGTCTTCTGACAAAAGCGGAAGTTCAAAACTGCGATTGTGCACATAGCCCATAAAAAAGATAAAAATAAACTTTTATAAAAAATAAACATCAACATTTTTTGAATATATAATTGTGCTAAATTATTAAAATAATTTGTTATTGTTGCCATATGTACTATACCTTCAGGTCTGAGTCGAGTCAGTCATGTCTGTCGCAAAAATTGTGCAGGACAAATTATGAGCAACAGAAATAACAATGCTTGCAATGCGTTGTAAACAAAACTTATTCGCCTGCAGAAAAATGGTCAATTAGTGGTATTTTGCACACAGCCGGGATAAAGCTGAATCATTTGACTTTCAAATTGTTGTCGCATACTGTATTTTTAAACTCCCCATTCATAATTCTGTGTGCGAACAGAACAGAATGCAGAACTGGACAGCGGCGATGTTGTCGCTGTTGTCATGGGGATGGAACGGCTCTCTGTGGTGGTGTCGGTCGGTACGGCGCAACGAGAGACACAGAGATGAGTGGGATTAGAATGTTCTGGAAAGCATTTACCGCAGGCCCAGGCCCATCTCAGGAGCTAATGGACTGGAACAGATGGGGGTGGACGAAGACTTCTGTAACTGTGGCACTGAATCGCTGGGTCACTCGCCGCTAGGCCCTGTAATGAGAGCTGATAAATGGCAATGCATTGAACAAACCTAAAATCCCGCCCGTAGCATCCTCTCTGCGGAGCCTGTTGGCCACATCCTGTGGACGCTTGGCTAATCGCTGATCCCCTCATTTCCACATGGGTCACAGCTGTTAGTGAAAGCTGGGCGATGCAAATCAAACTCAATAGGTTAGAAAATGGAGGGCTTTGAGTTTGATCAATCGTAATTTGTAACCATTCCTCATGCAGTCACAGGAGCAAGTCTTTATTTGAGTGACGTTAAAAGGCAGGTATGAGGCTCTCTGTGATGTGTCTGTTCTTGGTGCATTTATGCGTTTGAAAGATGCCGTTATCCAAAGTGATTTACAGTGCAATGAAGGTTTATGTTCATGATATTTCGTGAGCTTAGAATTATAAGGTTCTGTCTCCGTTTAGGGTAGTTCTGAGATATTGAGCATCAAAGTTTTTACAAACTGTTTTGTAGTATAATCTTCTATTATAGCTTTATCTATTAATCTTTTTTTTTTTTTTACAAAAATAACACCACACAGGCATTAATAAACACCTAATGGATCAGATTATGTCAAAAACTCAATTTCGACCAAAAGTGGAGATAGAACCTTATAATTCTAAGCTCACGATTTGGCAATTTTACAATTTGATTTTGAAGAAGTAGAATTAAAATCCAGTGAAATTCAAAGATCCTTATTTAACTTCTGCTGTTTGATGAATTCTAAAAAGGTTCAATTCATACATATGGACTATATATTTTTTTCTAATATTATTATGTTTATTGTTAGTCCACTTATGTGGTTGTAGCTTGATTCAATCAATATATTCACATTGATGCCAATATTTTTAAAAAAGTATTCTGAACAATGTGGTAGACAGTGCTGTACAGTATTGTACAAAATCTGTTTTGACAGTATTTAAGTTAATACGACAACAATCAATCAATATCACGTGAGCAGAAGTGGTGTTTGATATTAAAGGAGTAGTTCACTTTTAAAAAAACCTTTGCTGATAATTTACTCACCCCCATGTCATCCAAGATGTCCATGTTTTTCTTTCTTCAGTTGGAAAGAAATTAAGGTTTTTGATGAAAACATTCCAGGATTTTCTCCATATAATGGACTTCAATGGGGTCCAAACGGTTCAAGGTCCAAATGAGAGTTTCAGTGCAGCTTCAAAGGGCTTTAAACGATTCCAGACGATGAATAAGGGTCTTATCTAGCAAAACGATCGCTCATTTCAAAAATAAATAACAAAGTTTAAGTTTTATAAGCTCAAATGCTCACCTTGCTCTGTTTTGTGATGAGCATTCGTGACTCTCCTGTTCGAACTCGTTCATCAAAATGAACAAATCTTTTTTCGAGTCATGACTCAAAGGGTCCTAGATAAGACCCTTATTCATCGTCTGGTGTCGTTTAAAGCCCTTTGAAGCTGCACTAAAACTCTCATTTGGACCTTGAACCGTTTGGTTCCCAATGAAGTCCATTATATGGAGAAAATCCTGGAATGTTTTCATCAAAAACCTTAATTTCTTTTCGACTGAAGAAAGAAAGACGTGGACATCTTGGATGACATGGGGGTGAGTAAATTATCAGCAAATTTAAAAAAAAATGAACTACTCCTTTAAAAAAACTGCACGGCAAATGAGATATGACTTGTTTTTTTAATCAAGAAGTTTATATTTATTTGCTAACTTTCATTTTAGAGACTACGTTGCTAGTTAGGCCTACTTCGTCTGTTTTTGCTAATGACAATCATTTCGAACGAAGTCAAAGCAGGATCAAGCTTTGCGTCTCCAAGCAGCACATACTCACAGTATTTGTTCTTCAGTATTGTTGAACGAATTGGCTGATTGAA